ATATATATATACATGGAATGTGTCCTCAGCTTACTGGCAGCAAATACGATTATTCCTTTTTGAGTTTAGAAGGTATGATACTATTATATAAAGGTTGAATATGGCGCCTTTTAACTTTCAACAGCGTGTGGTCATTTAAATGTCTGAACATCTGAATCTAACATAATATCAGTCTTGGATAGCCTCCTGAACAACATACCTTGCAAGGGATTCAAACAAGTGATGCCAGCTTAACTATCAAACATAATAAGGCACAATAAACAAATGCATCATCTTTTGTTGTGTTGTTCCATCTACTGACTCAATGCTTTGTCTTTCTCTGCAGTAGTTTTGTTCACAAGGTCAGTGCATTATACATGATTTAACGAGGCTTTTATACTTAAGTTTGGGAGCTTTCGTGGCTTACAGGTTAAGTTAGTCACCTCTTATTCAAAGGTCTCGGGTTCGAATCCGGGTAACGACGGAAGCATTTTCTTCTCTAAAGTTGTCTCCTGTCACCTCCTTTCCTGCTCTCTAGCAGAGTTCTGTCGTCTGCTTTTATCTCCACTTTCTGTCCCCACCCCTCACCTCCTTTGCCCCCTCCTCTGGGCTCGTGCGTGTTTCTGCAGCCTTTCTACTTCTACTCCTTGGCTCCTTTTATACTGTTGTCTTTCAGCCACACCCCTGGTCTTCTGGTAGAAAAGATCTACACTTAGCCTTCTCGAAAAGGACAAGTTGCGTATGTTAAAGATCCCTGGGGGTCTAAAATCGATAAGAGTAGGCTTCGACCGCCACCCGAGCAAAATTCTAAATTTCCTACCAACTGAAAATGTTTAATGTGTCCCGTGCACTCATATGCCCTTTTGCAGTTGCAAGCGCTATAAAACACTTGGAGGCCTACAAAGAAAATACATAAGATTAAGGACAAGCACCTGATATAATGCAGAGCTTTGACTTTGCCAGTGGCAGCAAACTGAATGACATTCGCTGTTCCCATAACATTTGGTCCATGGAGTGCCTAAATGAGAAACAGAAGTGAGATGGATAATGAGATAAAGATACATTAAATTAGCGTTAGTGGATATGATAATTGAAGCAGCTATGTTTTGCAAACTCAACTTTTAAAATATTATCATAATAGCCGTTGGTTTAAAATACCAAAGCAATTTCAGTCATAGATAGACACTGATCCTACCAACAATATATATATATATATATATATATATGTATATATATATATATCCCTCTCCCTCTCTCTCTTGGTGGTCTAAAATCGATAAGAGTAGGTTTCCGCCGCCACCCGGGCAAAATTCAAAATTTCCTACCAACTGAAAATATTAGGTATGTCAACTGCGCGCTCATATGACCGTATGCAGTTGCGAGCGCCGTAAAACACTTTACAAAAACAAAACAAAAAATCTCTCTCTCTCTCTCTCTCTCTCTCTCTCTCTCTCTCTCTCTCTCTCTCTTCCGGCTTTTATGGTGTAGCGGTAAGGTGTTTCGCTGATACACGTAGGAGATGCAAGTTCGATTTCAGAGAGAAAAGAAAAGTTTTATTGAGTTCAGTATCTCGCTTTTTCTAAATTGTGTCGATGGGGGCGTTAAAAAACAACAACCATATTTTAAATTTAGAAAAAAAAAGCTCTCTCTGGGAGAGAGTGGGGGATTAGATTACACCCCCTCCCCCTTCCCTTAAAGAAAAAAAAAGGAAAAGACCCCCCCCCCTCTCTGTGACCTCTCTCTCTCTCTCTCTCTCTCTCTCTCTCTCTCTCTCTCTCTCTCTCTCTCTCTCTCTCTCCCTCTCTCTCTCCCTCTCTGTCCTTAAAAAAAAATAAAGCCACATTATAGGAATAGCCTACATACACTGTAAGGATATGCCAAGTTGACAGCCGCGGCAGCGTGGATGACGAAATCAATGTCTGTGCACAAATAGGTGTAGTCCTCTTCACTCAAACCCAGTCTCATCAGAGATATGTTACCTGAAAACCGTCAAACAGTTGTTGGTTGTAAATCAGAACTGCTTTGGCAATACTATCATTCAAATTCTACCTTAAAAGCTTAGAAAAAGATACATTGGATAAATAACCCCGACCCTTCCTTTTTTTTCTTTTTGAGCAAGCATAGTAATATAATGCTTTCAATATTATGTCTAACCCACGAACAATCCCCAACCCCCTTTTCCCATGGGTTAGAGTTAGAGATCAGTAAATATAATTAAATATTAATGTACATGATATAATTATATACTATTCTTTAGGCACACCATTTCTTGAGATATCACGCCCCAAAAACTCCCCCTTACCTTTCAAAGCAGTCGCTCTCTGTTGAAACGCTTCATTCACTTCGGCTTGTTCCTCTGTTGCATTGGCCTCATCCTGAGCTATGATTCCATACTGTCTCAGAGTCTGTTGGATGCGGTCCTCTGCGGACTTTTGAGGCAGCTCGCGGACAAGGCAGTAGACTACTAGCTGTATAGAGCGAAGGAAGAAAAAAAAACCATCATTAAAACAATTTGTCAGGTGACTGTCTTATACATGTACTACATGTACGTTAGAGAATAGATTAGCCATTCTTTGTTTTGTCAAATTAACTGAAGCGAATGATATCACTTAGGTTTAAAGAAATGACCATTGTTTGGCAACTACTCTTTTAAAATACATGTATATGGAGTTAATGAGCATCTTTTGTGCTTTGAATGAACCCACATCTGCCTACACTCAATGGAGAACTTGTATCTTTATGCTTGGGTTTTTTTGGTTTTTGATTTTTTTTGGGGGGGTGGGTTCTTCTCAAACAACAACCCCCCCCCCCCCCCCCCTTGCCCTCGAAATTGTAGACTTTTATGGATCAGGTCTAGAATTTGTACTTCCCATGCAATTAAATTTGTAAATGTGAGATGCAGTCTATAAAAGATAAGGAATAATAGTAGAAGTAGACCTACACTTGGGGGGGGGGGGGTAACATACTTATGACCTGATACATTATTTAACACCATTTATAATTTAACATCAAAAGCTCCAATAATGCCCTGGCTTACCTTCGTACGTGTGAGCAGCTCCTTCAAGATGAACGCCCCCAAGAAGCCAGTGGTACCAGTGAGCAACACTCTTCCTCTGTGAAAGTGGTGACCGTGATGGAAGGTTCTCCAAAACGCTCTGAGCTGCATGTCCAGACTGGAAATAAATGAAAAGGCGGGTACATGTATTCAGAATTTCTGTAACAGGAAAAAACAATAATCTAGCAAGAGGTAATATTAACATGATAAATAATATTCATTCGGATTAAGGCATGGCCTATCTTGTTTAGACAAACAATGATTGGAAAACTATTTTTAACAACAATGGCTAAGAAGCAAGATGCCCATTGTATTTTTTATGCTTGAGCTGATAAAGGTCACAGTGACGATGACGACGACGACGATGACGACGACGACGATGATGATGATGATGATGATGATGATGATGATGATGATGATGATGATGATGACGACGACGACGATGATGATAAAAATAGATAGCAATAGCAATAACAATAACAACAATATTCTCACTCACTTTGTGACACCTTGATCGTGCCTCCTGACTTCTGCCAAAAGGTCCAGTTTGGGCATGATATCATCCTCAGACGAACTCACGCTGGAGCCGCCGCCATTTTTGTTGGCGAGCCGATTGTCTATGAGCTTTGCCAGGCTGGAGATGGTCGGGCACAGGAAGAGGTCTTTGACGGCCAAGTGTACGCTGAACTTTTGCTTTGCCCGGGTCAGCAGTTCTGTGGCCAAAAGAGAGTGTCTGTGGAGAGGTGAACGTTACATTGAAATGAATTCGCATAAGAGAAGGAAGAATCAACACCCCCCCCCCCACACACACACACTTCCTTAATAAAAACGTGTCTCCAGACATTTTGCAAAAATTGTTTTTTTTTCTATTGAAATCACAGATTAACTTCAGTACTATTCATTTCGTAATATAAGTAGTGCATTAAATTTTTTCTTCCCTATTTTCATCTTGTTTGTTCCAACCTGGACTGTGCAGCATGCCCCTATAAACTTATATTACTTATATAAAGAAAGAGATCCATGCAGCACACAAAAATATAGCAGTGACCACACTGACCAATAGGCTCTTATAATATAACTTAATTATCTTGCAAGAGCCGTAAACATTAACTAAAACACGAACAAACACTCACCCGCCCAGGTCAAAAAAGCTTTCCTGAATGTCAACCTCTTTCAGCTGCAGGACTGCGATCCAGATCTCTGCGAGAGCGATCTCAGTGACCGTTGAAGGCCTCCCCTCGGCCCCCACACTATCGTCGTCCTGAGAGTTCAGGGTGGGGAGAGCTTTCTTGTCCAGTTTCCCACTCGCAGGAACCACTGGGATACTGCGTAATAACAGATCAGTTTGAGTAAGTTTGGGTAAAGAGATGCAAGTGCATCGAGATGATAGGGGTCACTCAGTGCAAGGGGGGAAAAGCAAGACAGACAAAAGAAGAAGAAAAAAGAGGGAAGGAAAAGAAGAAGGGATTACCAGAGGTGTCCTCCAATCACCTGCCAAGCAGCGAAGGAAAAATAAGAATCGTGAGACAGTTTATTCAGTCGATTTGTAACATAATATTATTTTGGTAGGACGAAACTGGGACAACATTTTTTTAAAATTGTAAGTGATCTTAGCCCCCCAATTCACACAATTTAGATCATTTGCGAGGCTGGCTTCCAGCCCCGCCTGTCAGGACCAACCCGGGCTGACAGGGACACAACATCCCAGCAGAACGACCGAGCTAATCGATACAGTTTTTCTCACACTCGGGAACCGAACTCGAGGCTCTTGCATGCCGCAGCGAAGTGCCTAAACACTACAACACAGACGCTGGTGAAACTGGGTTGAGGGGAGGAAGGAAGTAAGTATATGAAATAAGATGATGGTTCTATGCTACATTGCAGTTTTATACCAACATGCGATGACCAAAAAAAATTAATGATTCTTTGGAGAATACAGAAATAATGTTTAATTGTTACCTTTGCAAGAACATGAAGTATGAGGGAATCATGTAAAATGGCAGCCTCTTCTTCAGTTCTGCGCGCACTAGTTTCTTGGTGGTCTGGCCGTCGCTGACGATGTAGGCCACCAGGTACTTGTCCTCGCCCTCCTCCCCGGACACCAGGACGACACACTTCTTGACCATAGGCAGGGACAGCAGGCACGACTCAACAGCCTGCCATTGGGGAGGAACGAAATACACCGTAGTTTACTCACAATGAAATAGAGTGTTTCATTCATGGACTAAGCCTTGTATAAAACATCTTTTCCATATGAAATATTAGAGTCCAAATACAACAATGAAAGGTCAAATCGCTACCTTAGAATCACCTTTTTCTATGTGAACAAAATTCTTTTGGCCGTTTTGAGTTACGGGTACTAGGCTACCACCATGAGGCCAAAAATCAAATGTTCCATCTGATCTATCAAAATCGTAAGATTGTTCAGAGATTTTATTAAGAGTTTCATAGAATTTTTTTCAAATGAAATAATAGCATTTGAAAAGGTTAAACATGTTGTGAAACTCAAATTTCTTAACGTCACTTTTCTCAAACCTTGCTCTGAGCAGATAGAACTTTGTAATTCTAAGGTAGCAAGACATCAAAATTGTCATAATAATTCGACACTGACAAGGACGCACTTTGACTTAATTTCAGTCTTTCATGGAGCTCATCGTGAGACTCTGAAATCGAATAAAGGGCAAGGACGGAAATATTGCGCATTCATTCAACAAAGACATGATATAGGAGAATGAATGGTAAGAACTCCAATAGCTTTTGCTACGCCATTGAGACCAATTTTGGCAGGGAAAAGTTTTGGACAAATTTTGAGCATTCAAAAGCTCCTCTTATTATTAAGGGCAGGTGGGGCACCTGAGGTCTATTTTGGCTATTACAAGGCCTAGAGTGCCCATATTAGTTATGAAACATTGTGTGTTATAGGGGATTTGAAAACAATTGTTTAAAAAAGTATATTGTGAATCAGTTGCTATGGAAACGGCGGCCATATTAATTGCGCATAACTTTTTCAATCCCATCTTATTCCCTTATTTGGTAACTGATTCACTTCTAATTTGGCATGCCAGCAGTAAATATGTAGCTCTTAAATTTGGCTAGTTGATTTTTCGATACATGTATATGTTTCAGTTTTTATTTTATGACACTTACAATTGGGTTGCTGCAAAAAAGTGAAAAAAATGAAAATTCGTGCTTTCTAAACCCATAAATCAGAAACTACTCCATTAATTATAAATTCAACAAGCTAAAATTTAGAACAAGGTGCTTTTTTGGTATCCTGCGAAAGCTACATTGAAATTGAACAAGAAACAGAGCAGAAAAATTGGATAATGTGTGAAAAAATAGAATTGAGAGAAAACAGCCGATAAAGGTAAGAAAAGGATGTAAAACAAGTGCTTTCGCAGAAAAAAATTGAAAAACATCACAGCTTTAGAGTGTAGCAAAGCTCACATACATTTCTAAATATGGTTCAGGAAATGTCCCAGAACTATAATATGTAAAAGCCCCAATTTGTATACCCAAAACACGATTTCTAGTTCTGTTCCAAACCTAATACCTGGAGAAGAAAAAGAAGAAGAAGAAGAAGAAGAAGAAGAAGAAGAAGAAGAAGAAGAAGAAGAA